AAGGTGGGAATACTTTTTTTTTTCCCTGGCCTCTATTTGCCGCTCTTCTGCTATCAGAAAAAATAAGGTGGAAGACTGAGTAGAACGAGGATCTTTCTGTCCCCTCATCCTCCTGTCTTGGTAATTCCTCAATTGGATGGGATTAGTGGGCCACAAAAATGTGCACCCCAAGTAAAAATCTTGTAAATCAAGATTAAAATTCTGGGGATGGCGGCACATATCTGTAATCCTGGCACTCAGGAGGCTGAGGCAGGAGGATCACCATAAGTGAGAGGCCAGCTTGGGCTACGCAGTGATTTCAAGGCTATCCCTAACTGAATAATGAGACCTTGTCTCAAAAAACAAACCAACCAACTCACCCAAAAAAAGGCCAAAAAATTTTAAAATATACTTTTATAATTAATTCCAATTTTAAGAATCATATTAACAGCAACAATCAAAACATCACTAAAAAACCACCTATTGAACATTATCAAGACACTTACTTATCGAATTTGTGGATTTGTTCTTCATTATAAGCCAATCCTAGAAACAAAAAATACATACTTTGTTAGTTGTAACATAATACCATGCATGGTATTTTCTTCTTAGATTATTGTATTACTAAAAAGGCAGAATTTGAAGCCAATGTCACGGACTTGAACTATTATGACCCACAGATGCTTTTGCTTGGTCTTTATGTAAGTTAGTTGCCAACATTTAAAATTCAGGGTATTTGTAACAGAATCTGTACTTCTAGCTTGCCTGAGAAATGGGAACCCTGGGAAACCTGCTGGGTGACCCTGAGCAGTGGTCTCCCTTTCAGATGGACTCTGATCATGTTCCTGTCTGTCACGGGCCTCACTTCCAGGCGTTTTGGAATTCAGGACCCTGATTTAAAATATTCAAAAGATTGGCTGCACTAGTAATTGTTAGTGTATTCAAACTCTTTCCAGAAAAACATTACATTTCTGAAACAAATAACTTCAGTAGTCACCTTTAAAAATATACCAAATTAATACAACTGAATTATGACTGCTACACCTGATTCATTAGATTAACAAGTAGGAAATTTTACTTACTACGTTCTGCTTTGTCCTTTTTGAACTGATAGTAAATCTCTGTGATGCAATTTAACAGGACTTGTAGTTTTTCTACACTATTTAAGGAAGAAAAACCCAAATAAATTAACTGAAACAATGTGAAAAAGGACATTTAGTAAGAGCAGAAACTATCCATAAAGTTTAACCTACTTTCTGTCTTTTGGATGAGTTCCTTCTTGATGTGCCCATGCATCTGTCAATAATCCACCTGGAGATAATTTGCTGTCAACGTCCTGCAGACTGGTTTCTAATGTTCCCTGAGAACTGGAAAGCTAAATGAAACCAACAGGTTGAGTTCTAGATTGCCAAAGTCAGAAATGATGATCACAATGCCAGCGAAGTCTAGAGAGTCTGGATCACATTTCTTTGTAGATTACTACTTCAATTCAAGGCAAACTAGTTATTTCCAGTTTTAATTTCAAGGGCAGTTTCTTAGATTGATTTACACCAAGAGTATAAAAAATATGATAATGAAACATAAGACTAACTGGTATTAAAACATTTCATCAGGAAGTAATTTTTGTGTGTCTGTGGTGATGGAGATTGAACCCAGGCCCCCATGAATGCTAAGCAAGTAACTTTGCCACTGAGATACAGCCCCAGTCTAGAAAATACCTTAAAAAAAGTAGAGCACTTTTAATAGTTCAATTAATCTTCTGTATTCTTTGTTTAACAATGCTTAATTCTCTATCCCAGACTTAAATAAATATGAGAACCACTGTCACAGTCCCAAGTATAAAATATCGCATGATTTGTGCTTTGTTTGGAGCTCCATCTCCCTGCAAAAAAATCTAACTTTATTGCTTCTTATTTTATAAGGTACTAGGAATTGAACCCATGGCCTTAACATTCAGCTACATCTCCAACTGTTTTTATTACTTATTTTGAGACAGAGCTTGCTAAATCATTAAGCTGCCCAGGCTGGATTCAACTGTGTCATCTGCTGGAGTTACAGGCATGTACCACCATGCCTGGCTGAAAAATAACTCTTCTTAAAAACAAAAACTCGTAAGATGCCTTATCTAACATCACTTTGTTCAAACAGTAAATTTATCACTTGTCTACCAAAGAAGTGAATATGTATATTTATAAAATTTAATTATGTTAGTATATATAAACTAGTAAGATGAAGCTTATATTTAAGAGATAAATATGTCTTAAATACGAGTTCTGATACAAATGCCTGCTTTTCAAATAAAGTTTTAAGTGACACTGCCACTAGAAAACAAGGAAGCCCTTCTTACTATATACTTTTTTTTTTTTTTTCCGGTACCGGGAATTGAACTCACAACTGCCTGCTTGCAAGGCAGGTGCTTATGCCGCTGAGCTAAACCCCCAGCCCCTTACTATATACTTTTGTCAACATCAGTATTACAATTTTTTTTTGGTACCAGGAATCGAACTCAGGGTCTCACACTTGCCAGGCAGGTGCTGCACTGCTGAGCTACATCCCTGGCCCAGTATTATACTTTTAAGCCTTGATAATTTGAAAGACAGAATGATAACTTACTATTATAATATGCAACTTCCTACTACAATTAGGTTTGAATTTTATTTGTATTCAAACTATATTCATTCATTTGTAAATTATCTCTAAATGTTCTTTGCTTATCTATTTATTACAGATTTAACGTTTTCCTTATCAATTTACATGAGACAGGGTCTTTCTATGTAACACAGGCTGATTTGGACCTCTAAACAACATCAAAATGTAACACAGTTCTGGTTTGAGCCTGCAGCAATCCTCCTGCTTCAGCCTCCTGAGCACTGGAATTATTATTATTATTTTTTTGTCTTTTTCCTTTTTATCGGTACCAGGGATTGAACTCACGACTGCCTGCTTGCAAGGCAGGCGCTTATGCTGCTGAGCTAAATCCCCAGCCCCAAGCACTGGAATTATTGACGTGTGCTAAACTCCTGGCTTACATAAGCTGTTTATATAAAAAACATTGCATTTCTCCAACTTGCTTTTTAAAATTTTTTTTAAACATAGAGAGATCTTACATTCTTATACAGTCAAATATACACCTTCATTTTTATGTTTCAACAGTAATGTTTAGAATATGTTAAATTATAAAACAATATTTGAAAAATAATTTAGGGGGGCTGGGGATTTAGCACAGCAGCATAAGCGCCTGCTCTGCAAGCACATGGTTGTGAGTTCGATTCCTGGTACCAATTAAAAAAAAAAAGAAAAATAATTTATGGAAAAGTTATTTCTTAGTATTATATAGAAAACTAAAAAACAGCAAGGAACCTAAAAAACTAATAATAAGGGAAAAATAAGTAAGAATACTAAGTCCATGGACTGCAATTTTATGTATATTAGGAAAATACTCTTGGTCTGGGAAAGTAGTTTAGTGGTAAAGCACTGCCTAGCACGCAGAACGCCTTGGGGTTTAATCACCAAAAATACAAAACCAAAAATACAAAAAAAACCCCACCAAAAATACAAAAAGAAAAAAAAAAAAAGATTTACCAACTTAGAAAATGTGATATTAGTAAAAAAACCTCAAACAACTACAAGTTATTCTTAATAATACATACAAAAGTGTAAAAGTAGGCTGTCAAAATGTCAGCAGCATCAGGGAGCTCCTAAGGAAGCCTACAAGAAGCCTTGCAGGGCCCCACTGTCAGTTTCTGACTCAACAGGGGTGGAGCAGGCCCAACCTGCTTTCCTAAGTCAGTATCCAGGTGAGGTGACCCTGCTAGCCCAGAGACCATTCCAGGAAGCACTGCTACAGGACACTGAAAAACCCTTTAATCATCATCATTTTTTGAGTGGTTAGCATATGCGGTGTTTTTCCTTTGTATAAATTTCACTTCTGTGGTGGGAATCTTTTTTTTTTTTTAAGGTCTCAATTAGGAAAGGAGCCATAACGGCTCAACAGGTTACATACTGAAAAATAAATGGTCAGAAAATAAAAGTCCCAACTATCCCAAGACTCTGCAATTAAACCATTTAGTTTTCTGTTCTTTCATTCTTAGAAGAAATAGAAATCTCACAAAAATGTCATTAAAATGAGACATGCTTTAAACTCTCCAAAGAAAAAGATCATTTTGACTGAAAGCATCAAATGATATTGGCCCTAGAAGTAAGAGTCCACTAGGATAATGAGTCAAGTTCTAAGCCAAAAGCAGGGAGTGAAAACAGAACATTTACAATACGGCTGCCTATATTTATGTGCAGGCAAATACTAGGGAAAACTATTTCTTGTTTCTCTGACTTTTGTTGCTTTGTCCATAACAATGTTTTCCAAACTTCTGACCATGATTCATTTAAGAAATTCACTTAGTTTTAACCCTGTTAACATATGAAGCATAAAATAACTGGATCAGAAGTTTAAAGGAACAGTGATTTCCTAGCATGTGATGCATTCTGACATTTTAAAATCTGTTTGAGAACAGTGCTAATGGTACTGAACTAAACTTCACAGCTTATTATTCATTTGCTATTGTATTTTGGAAAGCCACTGATCTAAAACTAAGGAAAAGAAACAACTAAATATCACACTATGGTGGAAAGAAAAAAGAATAAAGTTCTTTTTCACTTTTAACTGTACATTCATTTTACAAATAATTTAAATACTAAAAGCTTGCAGGAGAATATGCCACTTAATTGGTACAATAACCCATGAGATAAGCAGGATAAGAAACTGCCCATTTGTGAGAAAAAAGAAATGAAAGATTCAAAGAATTGAAGGCATTTTTAGCCAGTTGAGAGCAGAGCAGCTAGGTAAATGGGAGCAGGTCTGAGATAATTCTCATATCTATGTACTTTTATAGTATTAATGAAAGCTCCAGAAACGCCTTGAAATGCTACTGTATTTTTCAGTAAAGACTAGTGCCCTAAATGACTCACTGACTTGATCCTTTCTTTCTTACTCTTTATTTTAGAGAAGATCTGATATATATATTTTAAATATGGAATGCTTCACAAATTTTCATGTCATCCTTGTACAAGCGCTATGCTAATCTTCTCTGTATCATTCCAATTTTAATGCTGCTGAAGCGATCACAAAGTATTTTCTTAATTGCATTTATTTCTGAACTGTACTTATTTCTAAACAGGTTTAAGTATGCTATGTCCAACTGAATAGTAAGTTACATTTATGAACTTCCTTTAATTGCCACAGCAGCAACGTAAGAGCAACATGAATTTAAAAAACAAAAAGTAGGGAGAGGGAGAGGAAGAGAGGAGTAACAAGGGAGGAAAGATGTGGGAGGGAGCGGGAAAGCGGTTTTTAAAGTAGACCAGGCATTTGGAAATGTTACAAAGAACTTCATGGTAGTGATAGTATTTTAATATTGCTAGAAGACTCTAAAGAGGGCAAAAGGCTATTTTCTTTGATGAGTTTTGGAAATACCAATTTTACTAAGAAAGTTTAAGTCTAACTCTGCCAGCAAAAGGAGAGATTGTAGCCTATGATTTTCATAATTTGTACTTACTCTCAACAGTTTGGTGTGTATATCTGAAATTTCACCTAATTCTGCTGCTTCTAGGTTGATCTTCATCAACTTTTCATATCTGCATGAAAGGGCAGTCACAGGAAAAAATTAAGTGAGTCTAAACAATATGTAGATTTTAAAAAGTTTTATAAATTATATTTGAGTTTTTATCATAACTATTTCATAGAAGATTTAAAGTCTGTCAGTCAGCAGGTTTTAAGAAAATCTGTGTTTTCCTGAAGAAGGAATTTTATATACAGTGGTTCCTTTCTATCTATGGTTTCACTTCCCATGGCTTCTGCTACATATGGTAGCAGAAAATATTAAGCAAAAAACTCCAGAAATAATTTAGTTTAAAATTTATGCTACTCTGGTAGCTCAGAATCACACATTATCAGTCCTTCCTGCTGGCAAATAAGCCTGCAGGTCTGCTACCTACCCTTTAGCATTCAGCTTAGGTAACAGATCACCTGCCAAGGTATTTCGGCACTTGCAAACAGGATTTGGTACTATCTGAGACCTTAGGTATCTACTAAGCATCCTAGAACGTAACCCCCAGGATAAGAAAGGAGTACTTCACAAATTTGCAAATGAAGAGATAAGATAGTTAAGGTAAGTTAATTTTAAATAACCTCATGTCAGAATAATATAAAAAAAATATGAGATTTCAGAATAGAGGTCAACAGTAAATACTGATTTCACTTATTATATTTCCTCTGCAGTACAAATAGTCTAAAAAAGAAGCCAGTTTAAAAAATCATTTTGTTTCAGTGGCCATTTTCAGAGATAATAAATTAAAAATAACCCTGAAAATTCTAAAATACTACCAAAAGACTCTTCTTACTTCCTTTGTTGAGTATAGGTTTACATCTTTCTATTCAAATATTCTGCTTTGCAAAATAGATATAAAATATTTGTGTCTCCTATTGGTCTTTCCCTCACAAAGGAAAGGTGAAAATGGTATTCATGGGGGCTGGGGATTTAGCTCAGTGGCATAAGTGCCTGCCTTGCAAGCAGGCAGTCGTGAGTTCGATCCCCGGTACCGATAAAAAGGAAAAAGACAAAAAAAAAAAAAAAAAAAAAAAAAAAGATGGTATTCGTTTCTGACTGAGAAAACTGGTATTTTTCTTCCAAGAAATAACTATAACCTAAGCCTATTACATAATATAAACATATATTACATAACTTACACACAGCATGTCATATTGTTCTAAAGATAATTTTTTTAAATAGTTTTATTATTTTTTACTTTTCAAATCCATTTTATTCATAGAAAGAAAAAAAAGAAGAAAAAAACTACAACAAAATTTTAAAGTATATCAATCAGGGGGTAACAATGGTATATACATTGCACATTGTCATTCCTAAATCATTCGATACAAGACATCTGCCTTCAATTGTCTGAACACTACCTCTAAAGATAATTTAAAAAACTGGACAGAAAAAAATATTTATTTTCTTAACTTTTACCAGGAAGGAAGTAATCTACTCACACTTTTACAGTTTTTTCAATGTTTCTGATGCAGAAATCCAATGTGATCACAACTTCTGTCTTTTTATGAACAGTTTCATTGTAATCCTCTTTAGCTAATTCACTAAAAAAAATTACTCCCGTTAGTTTAAGAATTCTTTTCTCCTTGCCTACTGTCCTACTATCCAAACATATTTCATTCCAGTATTCTTAGTAGTGTGAAAGCCGAATCTCATTTTTAGGACAACATTAAAAGCACTTCTATACCCCTCATACATATATAGGGCAAGTATATTTTTATCAGGCATTAGTATAGAGAAACCTAAGGCATTCAAATTGTATTAAAGAAAAAAATTAATGCACAATTGAATTGGTAAGTTGTATGGCACTGACACTTTATACCACCAAAATTAATTTTACTACTCATAGCTGATGGCTCTGATTTTATTCATTTTTGTGGTACTGGGTGGGAGTCAAACTCGTGTCTTACACATGCTATGTATCCTATCACTAAGCTATACCTATAAACCATGGTTTACACTTAGTTTGGTACGACAGTTAGTGTGTTCGCTAAACAAGGATGACATAATTGAAGAACTTTTGGTGTTTTACAATGAGGCATTAACAAATAAGGCTGGAAGCCTGTTTCTGCGTGATCCGTAAACAAACATCACAGTTCAAAAGTTGTAAAAATAAAAGAATAATAAAGAAGAGATGACATATGTGTAATGATACCTAAAATACTGACAGACCCTTTAAAGAAAAAGTATGCCAGATATGGTCTATACTAATAACTAATTTTTATGACCTACTAAAGTAGAAAACAAAAGGAATAAAAACTTCATAGATCAAGGAGTAGGGTAGAAAACTGCCAAAGAAAATGAAAGCTGTTAATACACTTAAGATTTTTTTCCAGAAACTATTTAGGAAAATAAGAATATTTGGGGGGTATGTGTATCCCAGAGACTGAATCTAGGATCTTATAGTATGAGCTCTACCACTGAGCTAAGCTACACTAAGCCTCATAAGTAAGCTTTTTGCGGGGGGGGGGAGTGTTTCTTTGAGATAGGATTTCATTGTGCAGTTCAGGCTGGCCTTGAACTCACTTTGTAGCCCAGGCTGGCCTCAAACTCACAGTGATCTCCTGCATCAGTCTCCCGAGTACTGGGATTACAGGAATGAGCCACCACACTTGGCAATAAGGATTCGCAATAGAAACAGAAAAAGAGGCTTAGAAACTGATATGTGACTACAATGAAAATTATTTTAAGCACAAATTTGTGGGCTTCACATAACAGTAAGTGAGAAAAAAAAAGCCTGAAAAAGATAAAAACAACAATTTTTCAAGAAGGGATGGGTGTAAGGCAGGCATACATCTACTTAACATTACAAACAATAAAGCTCACAGGGAGTGCAGTGACATGAGTTTAGAAAACACACCTCTTAGCATCTTTCAGCAAAAAAGGTCATGACTTTGTATACAAAATTCAAAAACTTCAAATGACATGCAAAACTATAAGCACAATTCTCAAGAGATCCATTTATTTTCTACTATCAGATGGAAAAATCACATTATAAAAGGTTTTAAAAAGACCAAATCACATTCATCTTGCATTTCTTAGGATCACTTTCAGGAAGAGAATACTTAAATATTCTGTTCGAGAGTAACTTTATAGAATGCTACAGTAAGACATTACTTTCTGAACTGCTGAGCATATATTCATATTGCATGATTCTAGTTATGATAAAAGCCTGGAATAGGGAAATCTATACAAAGTATATCAGTGATTGCCTAGGACTGCATGGTTTGGGGGAAAAATGAGAAATGAATTGTAATAGGTGCAGAATTTCATTTTGGGGTGATTAAAGTGTTCTAAACTTGAGTGTGATAGCCACACAACTCCACAAATATACTAAAAAACAACTGAATTACATATTGAATGTTTTATTTTTTTCATTACTATTATTATCATTGTTTTTGAGACAGGGTCTTGATAACTAGTCCAGGCTGGCTTTGAATTCACTATGTAGCCTAGGCTGGTCTCGAACCTGCAGTGAGTCCCAACTCAACTTCCTGTGTGCTAGGGTTATAGGTGTGAGACACTATGCCCAGCGCTATGAATTTTACATTTTAAATTGATGAATTTTATAGTATGTAAATTATATCCCAATAGTGCTGTTTAAAAAAGTAAATGTGTATTTCTGTTGGGGAAATGGTAGGAAATGCAGGAAGATTCTGAGGACTTAAACCCTAGAAAATATAGATTTTACTGGATTACAATAATGTCAAAGCCTTCTAAGAGGGAGAAATGACAACCAAGTCAAGGCTTTTAGAAAAGGAATTCATTTGCCATCACATTATGCAGTGTTGCTAAAGTTTTAAAATTCAGATACTATTTGTCGCCGGAGGTTTAGCTCAGCGCTGTAAGTGCCTGCCTGGCAAGCACAAGGTTTTGAGTCAATTCCCAGTACCAAAAAACCCAAAACCAAAGACCCCAAAAAAAAACAAAAAACAAAAAACAACACCAGATGCTATTTGTCTCGCAGATTTCTGTAAAAAATAAATGAAAAAGGGCTGGGGATTTACCTCAGCAGCATAAGCGCCTGCTGTGCAAGCAGGCGGTCATGAGTTTGATCCCCGGTACCGATAAAAAGGAAAAAGACCAAAAAAAAAAAAAAAAAAAAAAGCTGCTAAATATTTTGTAAACTAAATGTGAAGCAAATGTAGTGTAGTAAAAATCAAGCACATGACCTTGTCTAAGTGGTAAACCATCAATGATGCAGTGACTACACAATTTTTAAATTGCAATCTAATACTTACATCAACCATCGTATCCCCTTTCGCATTAATTCCTGATAAAGGAGCAAGGTACTGGCAATTCTACAGGCATAGCACACAACTCCTGTTACTGCCTGATAAAAAAATAAAAAATGTTGATGGTGCCAAATGTTATAGGATTAAAAAAATTTTACACAATTTTCAAGCTATATATTTCTATCATGTTAATTAAAAACCACAATAAACTAATCTTTAAAAGGTAAGGACAGACACAACTGTAGTAAATATTTTATCCTTAGTATTTTCTAAACATGCACTGTCT